TAAAGGAAGGCTAATTATAGGAAAAAGTAAAAAGGCGTGAACACACTCACACAACTGGTACAGATCTGCCTGGGTGAGAAAATTGTCCCGTTTTTAAATCGGAGCTAAACCAGGATGTACCAATCACCAACCATAAATGCGACCTCAATATTTCTTCTTTTGAAACATTATTTTATCACAATAAAGATCCAAGGGCAGTGTGGCGAAAACAACATTTGTTTCAAAGGGGACGTATTCATAAAATTTGAATTCATATGGACCGATCATTGATTGTGGATAAACAATATTTTAAGGTGAGAACTCGATACAAATGATTATTTATTGGTAGAGTAATATCCCTATGTTAAGAACTATATAGAAGAAAAAAACTGAATTTATATAGCATAATATGAATTTTAAAGTTGTATGGAAAACATGTGAATTTATTTTATATAAATGTATTATGTAAATATATTCACTTACTTTAAATTTGTCTTTGGTGGTTTGTTTTATGGGGCTTTATGTCTAAACAACAACTTAGCATCACAAGACAACATTGTCCACAGAGCTATCAAACTGAGACGTCACAATTTGAGTATACCGCGACCACATATCCCTTCCAATCACATAATTCTGACATAAGGCTAATCACAGGCAGATACCATCAAAAATAAGGCCACCATATATTGAAAAATAAAGCATAGACAAATGATAATAAAAAAGACAGGGAAACCCATTAGTGTTGGCAATTGTCTCTTCGGTGTAACTGAGAAGACGGCATGGAAATCTGAAAGAAGATGGTTCCACTTTACTTGCCCAAGCTCCAAGCATGCTGTGGGCTTCATTACAGTTTTTCCTTGACCCTCAGGGGACACATCTGGAGTTTTTACTTGAATCAAAAATTTTAATATCATTATATATCTTCTATTTCAGTCCCCTGTTCTTCTTCATTATTTTCATCATTTTTGTATAATATAAAGTTATTTATATGGAACGATATAAGACTTGAAACTGAGTCACACTTCAACTCCAATGATGAATTTATTGTTTCATGCAACTTTTGCTTTGACTTACTAACGCTTCAGAGCTAGATATCTTCATGGTTTTTAACCAATTGACTTTGGAAAGAAAACGCATTGTATGTGCCAAACTCTTCGTTATGATGTTAAGTTTCCGCCTGAAATCTACTTAATGATGGTAGATGTAGGCAAAGGTATAAGGATGTATGGGCGGAGATTAATCCTGCCAGCTGACCCCCACCTGTGTCTTGTATAGTCTGGCTCCGTACCATTGCTTGTTGTTTCGTAGGCAGCCAGTAACTTTTGGGATTAATCTGTATCAAGCCCGTCTACAAATTTCCCAATAATTGTTTCGCAAGTACATTAATACGGAAATTCCTAGACTTACATGTCACTAGTTGGCTTTTCCAGTGATGCTTAACTCAGGTGGGCAGACAACTCTAACTCAGTGCTTTGGGTGCAGTTCCAGAAAACGGGGTGGGGGAAGGGATCCACAAAAATTGATTTAAGCTTCATTTTTCATGATTTTTCCAATGTAAAATTGACTCTTGCCATAAATCATCGCCAAAAATATTTAGGGAGGGAAATAGATAGAAGCTTCTTTACTTCATTTTGGCTTGCAATTCATTTCTATTTTTTGATATTAACATTTTCTTGTTTAATTTGTGAGGAAAGACGATTATGAATTGAAATATCTCAAAAATAAATAGTTAAGCACGTAGAAAATGAGAGTTGAAAGATCTGCCATTTATCATCATTCCATGAATTGAAATTAAATGAAGGCAAAAGTTGAGTAATTTACAGTCTAATTTACAGTATATATATATATACTGGTCAGACAAGTATTGGGGTGAAGGAGGGGGAGCGATGCTGATTATTAGACTCCATTAATTGACACAAAAACCTTTCCTTTATCCATCCCTCATACCTCAACATCGGAACACTAGGTGTCATTGCGGTACGGTAGCACCACTAGGTGTCATTACGGTACGGGAGCTAGAAGAGATTACAAGTTATCACTATATATAATCTTTGGGAAACTTAAGCTTTTAATATACAACATATATGTATTTTATTGATAAAAAAATACCTCGACCCTGTTTCAGTGTTAAACACACTGATCAGTTACTGTCAGTCTGGCCCCCTATCAACAGTGGCTACGAGGTGGGTTGTATGTGCGATACCAATCTAACTGACTTTTATAAACTATAACATGGGGATCCAAGAGGGTTTACATAGCTATCTGCCAGTAATCCACTTATCTTTGTAAACCATGACATTTTTGTTTTGTAAAACTACCACAATATTTGGGAACTCCACGGCTAATCTTTTTACCAATCAGGTTTCCCTATGGGCCTGCTCAGTGGCACAGAGGAGGAATTTTGGAGAATTTCTTTGATATCAAACTACTATGATAAAAGGTATCTCAATATTTAATGTTTTAAGAAAAAAAAACAAGTTGTGGCCATTTGGCTGTCCATCTGTATTTTCTAAGAGTGCCAAATTGGAATCCCTCACAGGGGGCTGAGACTCGTCAAATCTTATTTAAATTAATATCAAAAAATGGGTGGTCACTATCTTTCCATAGTTACTGCCCTGCAGGTAGGGCGTAAGAATTGTACCTGCTGCCCCCAATTGCATGATCGTAAGAGGCGACTAAATTTGGGACCTTATCTCTTCTCTCCTTCCTAAATAACTTTCTTCTTCCTAATGTCTCCCTTGACAATGCCTCACTTTTGGCCATTTGTTGAGCGTTCGCCCCTGTGAGGAAGGCTTTGGGTTCTGTCCCCTGGCCGAGACATACCAAAGTCTTTAAAAATGGTAGTTTCTACTCCTGCTTAACGCTCAGCAAATTAGGAGTGGGACGACTGGTTCGCCCGTTGTCAGTATAATGTGACCGGGTGGGGCGTCCTGCTGGGTGTCTTCGGCAGTATGTTTCAGTGAGGTAGCACTATAAAGTCGGCATCAGTTCCGCGCTATCACAAGGAGACAAACACGAACATATCGCAGCCTCCCAAAATACACACACATACACTACACGCATGCATCTTGCACACAGGGGAGGCCGTCCTTAAATGACCTTAGCTGTTAATAGGACGTTAAACAAAATCAAACAAACAAACAAACAAAATTTACAGTTATAAAGCCCATTTATTGACAATTTTTAAAATTTATTTAAGATATATGTAAATTTAGTATATGATGAAGGATAAAGACCATTCATAGTCTTCATGATTTAGATATTCAATTCTAAACTTAACAATTGTCTTTTAACAAAGACAAGACCGTGTGTTACTACAAACCCACTTCTTGCATATTCTAGCTACTGAAAAATGTGTAAATATCACAAACACTCATTCAGTCAACAATATGTTCCCCAGGACTTGGATGTTTGAAAGGTCCCAACAATGGCCTCTTAGCTCTATAAATTCACCGGGTGTTTAAATTAAAAAACGTAGGATTAAAATCATAAAATACAGGAAATTTAAATGAAAAAAGTAACATTTCGCGTCCTAAAAGAAAGTCTGCTCTTTCGTTGACATCAAACTCTTGTCAGAAACCTTGCCAATAATGAGCGGATAGATCAGTTTAAAGTCTGCTGGGGTTTATTACAAACCTTATAAATTTGACTACATTAAGAAACCTCCATCCTTTCACTTATTATATTTACAAGCATTCATGACTTGCCATACCTATCATTATTTGACCCTTAAGAACTCCGTAAAAAGGCTTACAAAGTTATTTCCCTGGTTTGTAAATAAATTGGTAGCCACTGTAAATAACGTTGAAATGAGGATAATCAGAACAGTGTCGACCACATTTATTTTATCAAAAAACACGAATTTATGTCATTTGAAATGAAAGAGTCAATTATACCCCCATCCTGAGCCGTTATTTACCATCGGTCATCTGTGTGCCGATTTATGATGTGATTCCGGAAAAAATGACACATTTTAAATCTATCTGCAACATTAACTGCGCCCCGTCTCAAAGAATCTATGTTTTTTTGATGTCATTAACATATTTTGTCGAGTAATCTATGATAGATGTTGTTGAACATATCATTATGGCTGTCAACTTTGAGTTAATACCCTATACTCACGTGGCTTGTGTCGGGAGATTTACTGGGCCAGCGAGGTGGAGAGAGGGGACTGGCAAGGTGCTGAAAGAGTTGATTCTGTGATTTGAGTGGCTACTTCATGCTGACACGATAAATTTCTGTAACTTTCGATTCCGTTAATATATTGTGCTTGTATGTTTAAACTTGCAATCAACAGTAGTATATTATATCGGTTGTGACATTTCGACACCAATAGGTTTCAATAGGTGATTGGGTCGAGGGATACATCTGTTCCATGGCAGATTATATCATTTTTGAATCACAATATATTTTGTTGAAAATTATTTTTCATCAGACATTAAGAAACATATTCAATATACAGGATGTATATATTGTTAGATGTTCTGTAAAATATTAATTACAATGCGTGTATCAATAAAAATACTCATACCTAGTGCATTGGGTACTGGGAGCAACATATTGAAATCATTTACAAGAACCCAAGCTATATCACTGTTGTAACATCCTATATAATTTCACTTTTACAAAGAAAATAGCATATTTTACACCTTAATAAATAAAACAAAAATCTAATTTATTCATAATATCAAAGTTTTACTTTATACACAAACAATATATGTATTTAACGTGTCGCAACGTTTCAAGACTGACCGGTCCGACCCTTTGTCAAGCTATAAATTTTCATATTACACATTTCCAAACTGATGAATCTTATTGCAGTCTATTTTAATCATGTCAATAATTATGATGTGAAACGTCTTCAAGAAGAAGATATAGGCTGGATATTCTTTTAACATGTCAACCATATCACCCGAGTATTCAGCCTTTTTATTTTGTATATTTATCTAGGTTTGGTGGAGAGATGTATGGTTCCGATTCCTATTTTGTTCTGACCTTGCTTTTCCGTTGTATCTTTTCAGAATTGTCCAGCATGCAGCAGGTTTTCTACATTTTCCACAATGATGACCTGGAAGGTTACGTACAGTTGACCGTAGATATGCCGAGGGACCAGCTCCTAGTGGGCGCCAGGTAAAACCATAGACCTAATGGTTCTTTGGAACCCTTTTCTTGTTTAGCACTGTAGTATTGGTTCTCACAATTTGGTAAAATATCTCAATTTCTTTCAGAATACATTTTAAAATTTCTACTTTTAATATAAAAGTATAGATAAAAATTGAGAGAAGAGATTATGAGACAATCTTTTCCAAACTCAAGGGTGGTGGAAATCCCAAAACGCAAAATGTTTTTATTCGATTGTCGAGTTTCTGCTTTCTCAATTAGTTTTCTGGATTATCAAAGTTTGGATTAGAGGGGTTCCACTATACAGGGAAAAATCTGACATCACTTTATGTGTTCATTATTTGACACAGGGGCGTGTTGTTCCGGATGAGTTTGGATAACCTGACGGTCATACAGTCAGTCGAGTGGAGATCCACGGAGGGAACACGTATGCTGTGCAACAATAAGGGGGTGGATCCGGTAAGTTTGGTTATACAACTCAAACTCTCGTACTCACATATTGGCACTTCTGTTTGTAGCTTAGCATCTGTCAGCTTTGTTGATACACTTATTTTTAAATCGGTGTTCAAAAAGTAGCTAAAGTTTCAGTGGAGATGAAGGAAAATCCTGTTGGCACTCAACACCTGTAGATAATGAATGCTCCCCATGGAGTCAACTACTGATTACTCCCTACAGTGGTTTGATATTTTTCCTGATCTGTCGGTATCAGAGTCAGTATCGGAGTTTGTACCAGATAACCAAACCCATCCTGTATCTGCGGAAAGGTTCCTGTCCAGGACTCCTCCATATCTTTTAAATCAACACCAACTGAAGAAGGTGGTGGATATGCGATTTCCTTTACGTCATCAGCCAAGGCCTCTTAGATTAGTTTTCGGATAGGAAAAAACAACAAAATAAAACATCATTTTAACCTTTTTCTGCCCCCCTCCTACACAACAGCGAGCATATAGGTTTATTTTGCACATGTCCATCTGTCAGTCAAACCATTTGTCTATCTCAAAACCAGTTGTAAAATACTTCTTCAAAACCAGTCGATCAGTCTGTATTTAAGGATCCCCGTACCACTGCCAAAAACTGTAACTAAGTGTTGGAAACTGTTTTTTCCAGCATGAGTATAGCTTTGATAAATCTTTTCTAAAAAGAAAACTTTACCTTACAGGACTTTTACGAGAAATAATAAGGATGAATGGATTAAAATATAATCAACAATAGTGTTTTGAGTGTAAAATACAGCAGGGCTAGATTAGGATTCGAACCCTGGACTTTAGATTGTTATACTATTGCCCTAACCGATTGATCTACCTAGTTATCAGAAGTGCCCTGTGGTCAAATAGTTCTTCAGTTATATTCAAACATTGGAAACCCACGGTGCAGTGGGACAGGGATCCCTAACCAATTGTATACTATGTAGACGCCATATATGTACCTATGGGTCTGATTGTGTTTTGGAAGCAGGTGAAGGTTAAAGGTCATATGAATATTAATTGGGATTGATTTTTATAAGCTAATAAAGAATTGACAAGGTCAAAGGGATAAAAATAGGGATGATCTTGAAAAAAAATTATTGGGGAGATTGACTCAACTTTTACCATATCAGTTATACCTGAAGGAGGAGGGAGTTAAATATTCATATACAATACCAATCGACCTTGGCTTAGTTAAATATTCATATATAATACCAATCGACCTTGGCTTAGTTAAATATTCAAATATAATACCAATCAACCTTGGCTTAGTTAAATATTCAAATATAATACCAATCAACCTTGGCTTAGTTAAATATTCATATATAATACCAATCAACCTTGGCTTAGTTAAATATTCAAATATAATACCAATCAACCTTGGCTTAGTTAAATATTCAAATATAATACCAATCAACCTTGGCTTAGTATAAATATTCATATATAATACCAATCAACCTTGGCTTATCCCATTTATCCCATGCATATCTAAAATCTCTTCCATACTCCACTATTACCTCATCTACTGCTCAAGTTAGTATGGTGATATAGCACATATATTGTTCGTTATTTAACATGTACCAGTATGTATTGTTGTGTTTCAGAGTGAGTGTTATAACTTTGTTCGGGTCCTGCTGGTTCACGAGGACCAAGTGATCACATGTGGGACCAACTCATACAAACCCATCTGTACCTGGCGACAGGTGAGTCGAGTGATGTAACATGTGTGTGCTGACACCAATGTCTGCAACAGATGAGAACACATATATTGTATCACGACACCTGATAGAAGACACTAGTGAAATTGTATATGTCAAGCATTAAGTGTCACAATCTGAAACAGTGGAGGAGTTGTATTTTCATGATTATTTTAATTTAGCCTAGCACAAGTTAAACCACCTGTAAAATTATAATTAAAGTAATCATTCTGTAGATATTAGCATTAGCAAGTGAAGCTCTGTCAGAATTGCTAATGCTAATATCTTTTACAATTTTTTCTCCCTAATATCAAGTGTAATTTGGTGGTGTTGGTAGTTGATGTATGAAGGGAAATAACTCTTATAAATATTTTTCACTTTGCCTTTACTGAACATTAACCAATTTATGTTTGTACAGCCTGAAGATCTCAGCAACATTACACAAGAGGAAGGTGGTATCGGATTCTGTCCACTTAACCCCAACGAAAACTCCACATCTCTCATGACCACGGATGGCAACTTTTACAGTTCAACGCCTGTCGACATCACAGGCCGGGAATCCCTTATTTATAGAATCTACGGGGACAGATCACAGCTTAGAACGTTGGCAAATTCTAAATGGCTCAACGGTAAAATAAAATCTACTACTGAAGAATGTTAAGAAGAATGTTAAATCAGTCTAATTTGAATTTGATACATATAGCAATTAGTACAACTAAAATTTTCCATTCAATATTAATAATGCATAGTGATTTTAAGGTGAATGTCTGGTTTATAGAGGTTTCTAGTAAAAGAGGGTCTGGATTGTAGGACCTAGCTTAAGGCCTTATTTATGAAGATTTCTAGATATATTGCACATTCTGGTTTAGACAGGGTATATACCATGTACTTAGCACCTAACCGAAAGGTCCTGTTAATGCAGGTTTCCAAATTACACAGGATTTTGTTTAGTCAGAGTGTAATGTATATGGATGTTTTACATTTGGATTTTTTCAGAGAAAAAAGATCACTATTTGTTTCTTCCAGTTCAAAGTTACACAAAGGGATTTTTAACCAGTCTTATATATAAACATATCTGATTGGCATAGTTTTAGGGAATGCTATTAACCCTTTCACCACTTTAGACCATAATGGACTCATCCAGATCAATGCATGGAAGAGTTTACTAAAGTTACCTAGGGGTGAAATAATTATCTCCTAAACAATTGATTTTATCACTTCCTTCAGCAAATTCCTATTTTGATATTTTGTTTTTCTGTCTGTTTCAGAGCCAGATTTTATAAGTTCCTATGAAATAGGAGATTTTGTTTACTTTTTCTTCCGGGAAGTGGCAGTAGAGTATATAAATTGTGGTAAAGTAAGTATCGCAATTTCATTTCTTTGGTTTCTTAAAATAAATCCATTAAAATATACAGGATTTTTTTTCGTTCTACTGTAAATTTTATCATTGAGGAATGCCAATTTGAGATTTATGATGTGACCATGATAAATTGCCACTCATTATACAGTGTACTGCCAAACTCACATACTGCCACCAATTTTGTCAGAAAATATATTCCTTAAGAAATGACACTTCTTCTGTCATTGATATATATCTTGGTCTAACATCAGAATATTTCCTGTTTTTTTCAGAGAGTCTATTCTAGAGTAGCCAGAATCTGTAAGGTAAGAATATTAGCACATATAATGACAGTAGCACGAATTTTGACATTTTATTTTGGCACCAAAAAAGATGTGGGTACTACTTGAGATTATACAATTAAACAACTGTACCAGTTCTCTTTGCTGTGAAAGATCAAAGGGTTGCTCAACAAATGTTTAATTACTGGGGTATTCAAACCTTCATAACAGAAATTTTGATCAAATTTTTAAATCTATGGAGAAGGGGGGGGGGGGGGATATGTAGCAGTTGCATTCTGATGGAAAAATGTTGTATATTTTCAAAATCTGGTTAATACATAAAGTTTGTAAATCGCATGTAAAGTTTTTGTGGTTGGTTTTCAGACTGACCGGGGAGGAAATGTGGTGTTGGAGGATAAATTCACCACCTACCATAAGGCCAGGATGAACTGCTCTCTGGCCGGGGACTACCCGTTCTATTTTGATGAGGTTCAGGCCACACATTTATTAACAACAGACAACGGAGATAAATTCCTTTATGCTATTTTTACTACCCCAATGTAAGTAATATTTTGATATTATATTTTGACTGGAACCACAAGAATAGCAAACTATAAATAATTTGATGTAATAATTATTAAAAAATATTCAAATGGATCAATATTGATCCTATGTTCATTTATATTTCAATTTTGATGTGAATTCACAAACAGATTTTATGGAATTTATGTCCAATATGATTTTCGTCATAAAATACAAACCAGAGTTTCTATCAGGTCAGACTTTGTATACATAAGGAATAAAGGATATATGCTATAAATACTTCAACATCATTTGAAACTTGATGTTTGAAACATTTTTTTCGATCTTTACATGTTGTCAAAACATTCAACAATCTACTGAAAAGTTTTGATATTGCACCATATCTGAGATGGCAATACTTTTAAATATGGACTTGATTAGCATTGGGTAAACAAACTTATATACCATGATCGATCAGTCAGTTATCAATAACTGGTAGTGGGGTCCCATGAAATCATTGTCAAAAAATCTTTCTTTTAATATTCGAGATCAGAATTAACAGTAAATATAATTAACTTTTAAGTTGGAACTTTGTTACAGTTCAAAATCGTGCACTCTAACAAAAATAATAAGCACTATTTTTCAGTTTAGACAGGTTTCATTGTAACAGTATTTTCACGTTAATATTTCAGGAACAGTATAGCGGGGTCAGCTATTTGTATGTTTAATATGACAGCATTCCACACGGCTCTGACAGGGCCTTACAAATACCAACAAAACGATCGGTCGGTGTGGGAACCGTACGAAAATCTCAACCCACTCATAGAGGTAGGTAAAATTCTACTGGTAAAAGATGTCTTGTTACCTGTTCAGATGATAGCTAGATGATAAGTCTATGACAGAGAAGAGCGTTTATATTGTTACTTTACACAGCTTATTATCAAAAAACTAAAGACGACTGATTAGATGCATAAATTCACTTGTTCAAGCTATCCTTCATTTTCCTTAAAATGTTAGAAGTGAATTTCCCTCTAGTTTGGCAGTTCTGGTATACTGTTGTTGCGTTCTATAACAAGATTGATCCAACTATGAAAATGTGTATTGTCATGCTCGGAAGTAAATCTTAAAACAGAATGGTATCCTTTCAAATGGGAACCTTCAATTGATTTTCAATCACTTCAATTGACTTTCGATCACTTGATTGGACATAATTAGGGTATATATGAACAACATGGTTTAGAATTCAGACCTATTTCTCTGTTCTATTTTACAGTGCCCTCCTGATGACACAACTAACAAGAGGACAGCAGACGATAGTCTACTGAACAAAGCTGAACAACAGATAATGAATGCCCAGGAGTTCCAGATGATGGACCTCGCAGTACAGCCCACCACTATACAGCCTGCTCTAGTAGGGCAGAATGAAAGGTAGGCTAAGATAGGAGTTGTGTAGCTCCCTCTTGTGGGATAGAACTAAAGTGCAGGGGTTGTGTAGCTCCCTCTTGTGGGATAGAACTAAAGGTTCAGGGTTTGTGTGGCTCCCTCTGGTGGGATAGAACTAAAGGTTCAGAGTTTGTGTAGCTCCCTCTTGTGGGACAGAACTAAGGTTCAAGGGTTGTGTAGCTCCCTCTTGTGGGATAGAACTAAAGGTTCAGGGGTTGTGTAGCTCCCTCCTATGGAATAGAACTAAGGTTCAGGGGTTGTGTAGCTCCCTCTGGTGGGATAGAACTAAAGGTTCAGGGGTTGTGTAGCTCCCTCTGGTGGGATATAGAACTAAAGGTTCAGGGGTTGTGTGGCTCCCTCTGGTGGCACAGAACTAAAGGTTCAAGGGCTGTGCACCTACAAGAACCATAGATGGGCCAGACAAAAAAAGTAGGTGTCAAGTGTTGTTCATCTTCCTCTGATGTGGGAGAGTGAACGATAGAAGTTGTGCAGCTCCCTTTGGTGGGGAGAGTGAACGATAGAAGTTGTGCAGCTCCCTCTGGGGTGGGAGAGTGAACGATAGAAGTTGTGCAGCTCCCTTTGGTGGGGGAGGGTGAACGATAGAAGCTCCCACTGGTAGGAATAAAAATTCAGTTGGGGTTCAGTGGGAGAGAGTGAAGGGATAGGGAACATGGTATGTGTAGCTCCCTCTGGTTGGAATGAATTGAAAGGTAGGGTTCAAAAGTTTAACACTCCATTTAGTGATACGAGATGAAGATAATGGCCAAAGGTTGTGTAAATCTGTTTTGAATCCAGACAAAATATACAAATGTAAGTAACAGGAAAGAGAGTAATGTGCTGCCACCTGGGATCGAACCAGTGACACCCAGCTTCCCAGTCCACTGTTCTACTGATTGAGCTAAAGAGAAATTCTCTCTAGTGCCAAGATAGAAGGTTACTGAAATGCTACACACAATTAAAATCTTCGCATATATATAAGTTTTTGTCACAGTTGAGAGAGAGAAGAACTGCTTGAGAGTAGAAATGTTTTGGATCAAAAGGCAGGTGAAATCAACATAATTGAAATTAAATATGAAATAAAGGCCAGTTTTCTTGTCTGTTGTTCTTATTTATTTTGCAATGTTTAGATCGCATGTTAGAATCCTGACTCTGGTTTGTGTACAGGTGGACACATGTGGTGGTGGATTACGTGGAGGGGAAGCACCACTCGTACAAAGTCATATTCCTCGCCACGGCCACCGGCAACGTCCGTAAAATCACCACCATCCCCGACATCAGGGATACCTGTCTTCTGGAGGAAATCAAAGTGGTGCCAAATGGCCACCACAAACCAATCAAGACCCTTGTTATAGACAAACAAGTGGTAAGTATGTTATAGAAACCACAAACCAGTGGAGAGGCTGAAAAAAACAAAACAATTAAGGCACAAGGACAAAGTAGAAAACACAGAACAGTCAAAACATGAAATGTAAAACAGTAAGGAAACTCAAAGATCCATTTCTATTGTTTGTTTGTTATGTCTTTCTTTAACTCATTCACCCCTGAATTCACATTTGAACTCCTCCAATCCAAAGTTTGGAATAGTTCATTATGAAATTTTAGGGGTGGATGAGTTAAAGTGGATTTGGATTAGGTTTGCATTTATTTGAAATTTATTCGGGAATTATCAAACATAAAGCAATTCTGTCTGTTTTTCGTTCAAATTTGATGTTATTGTTATTATTCTTTTAATTGAAAAAGATTTTGGTTTTCTTCTGTTTTTAGGGAGCCATCTTTGTTGTAACCCATGGTAGCCTAATCAGAATCCCCCTCCACAGATGTGAGCGGTTTACGACCCGAGAGTGAGTACACAGCTTTGTTAATTGTTTTAGCCAATAGCTACCTGTGAATTTTAGTACTTATCACAATACTCACAGGAACAACTGTCAGAATTTTCTTTGTATATATTGACATATTTAACTCTATAAATATCTATCACATATAGGTAATAGTATTTCCTTATCTAGTTTTAATCATTTTTTAATAATATTTCAGATAAATTGTTAATTAGCTACCAGTTGAAACTTTTAGTAACATGATCTGTCAATGGTAATGTGCCAAGAATGGTTTGGTGAAATTGAAAGACCATAATGCAGAACGAAAATGGAGACAGCTTACTTCCTCATATTTTGTTAACTTTTCCACCACTGTAGACCACAATGGACTCATCCATATATCAATGCATGGTAGAGTCTATTAAAGTTACATAGGGGTGAAAGGGTTAAATAAAACCGATTTGATAAAGCACAGCTGTATTAACACTAGCTTATAATGATCCGAAGAAGGCAATAAGTTGATGTGATACAGGAACACAACAAGACATTTTTCATTTTTTTTTAAATATTAACATTGACTACTCTACAATTGTTTGCTTTCAAGGTGAAATATGGGTAATACATTATTAACTTGTAAAGAAAATTTAGATGAATATATTTGAAGAAAGAAAAAGAGCACAATTTTGTCAGTATTATTTGGTAATAAGTAACACAATGTAAGGATACTGACATTAATCTGGTTACCTCCCTTAGTCTGTGTTAGTAACAATATTGATATTAATCTGGTTACCTCCCTTAGTCTGTGTTACAATGTAACAATATTGATATTAATCTGGTTACCTCCCTTAGTCTGTGCCTGAATGCCATGGACCCGTACTGTGGGTGGAACCAGGCTATTGACCAGTGTACCACCGCCCCTGACGGGATGCCGTCCCTCCACTACTGGGAACAGGCCATGACCTCCTGTCCTGTTGTTGAACACCCAGGTAATGCTTCAACAATCCTCCATTGTCAATCCTTAAGGATGTATCTTACCTGACATTCTGTATTAATGATTTATATTACAGTTATCTCCCTTGAAAACTTTTCAGGTTTAGGATAATTCGGAACTTTGGAATTACCTGAAAGTCATCAGTACATATATCCATGTACTCATCAGTATGTTATTCATTGATGAGCGAGTTTACAAATGTCAAGGATTTTACTGTGGAAACTGACAAACATTAAACTAAGGTGGCATGTAGCCTTAAGTCTATAAACAAAATTCTGTTCAGCTGCATCCAATTTTTCATTTTGTATCCTACCAACTAGAAAGAATTGATCTGAATTTAAATAATCAATATATAAAATCGAAATCGTAATATTATGGATGTCATAGATATAAGGAATATATTTCTGATGTGTTTTCTTTAACATAACTTTAGTAAGTCCTATCTGATGTCTGATGGTTTGGTTTCTAGTTGATGGTTGGTGGTCTGTTTGGAGGCAATGGTCCTCTTGCCAACAAACGGTGAATGATCCAGCAGCTGGCAGCTGTTTCTGTCGCACAAGGTCATGTGACAACCCAAAGCCTCTATATGGCGGTGCGGAGTGTCCAGGGCAGAATGTCGAGGTGGTCAACTGTACCAGTAAGTATTTGTCTTAGCACTTCAGGTGAAGGTCATAGAACTAATTTACTGTGTTAAAATTGATTCGGGGTATTATATATTTAGTGCTGATGATTTGTATGTTTAATTGAATCTTAAGCAGAACATTCAACAATTTCTAAATTCTCTGTAAACATTTGATGTGTGTAGGTATCAGGAGATGATGATGCTTAAGACTTGTATGCTGTCTTTTCAGTGCATGGTCAGTGGACAGACTGGACCGAGTGGTCAGTTTGCTCCATCACCTGCGGTTTTAACGGTACAAGGACACGCCAGCGTTACTGTAGCAACCCGCCACCGAAGTATGGCGGTAACCCCTGTGTGGGTCCCACCATGGACGAGGGATACTGCCCCGGTAATCCTAGCTGTCCAGGTGTGTATTATAATGATGCTCCTAGCTACCGACAGGATATCATATAAGCTGGTTATAGGGGCTGTTTTTAGACTAGACAATTTGTGTAGTGGATTATTGTTGCAGCCCCATAGTGGAAGGGACATAACTCTTGCAGACTTGCTCATCACATCTGAGCCAATAAGATAACAAGAGTTGTTAGTGAATTGATAAAGTTTCTTTTTCTTGGTTGAACAAGAAATGTGTGGGTTGTTTTTTTACATACCAAGCCCTTTACACTCCATTTTGTAATTTGTTTATTTTCAGGGTTACATTGAATATGTAATATTTTGGCTGGAAAACCCAAGTTGTAAGACATTTTAAAGTAGATCCCTATCAAACGAACGGAACGTAAAAATGCAATTGATAAAAATGTTTATTGAAGTCTACCATGGAAAAGATTTTTTCAAGAGTTGTATTTCAATGATAAGTCTGGCGTTTTTTTCAGAATTTTATTCACAGCTTTTATGAAATAATCTTTTTTGAATGTACTTACAGATCTCAAGTTTTTCACAGGTCAAAAAAACTGCATTCGAAAAGATAAAATGGAAAACAGAATTATTTTCAGAAAAAACATGAAGATGCAGTTTCATAGCCTCAAACATGAAAAACATTATGCTGATCACTTTTACTAAAGATATATCTTGTTAATTATATGACTTTCATTTTTCAATAACCTTGCAATCTTTATTCCCATAGAACCCCCTGTAGACGGGGGTTGGGCGCCTTGGACAGAGTGGGCCGAGTGTTCAGCCAGGTGTAACGGTGGGATCCAGTCACGGCGGCGAGCGTGCAGTAGTCCCGACCCTGAGCGGGGCGGGGCCCCTTGTGAGGGTAACACAGATGAGTGGAGGATGTGTAACACCTATGTGTGTGATGGTATGTACCCTATATACATCACCTCCTAAAATAGCCACGTTATTTATTGTTGGTAGCTTAAGTTATATGATGTACTGAAACCAATACTTCCTTCTGTTGAGGACACATGCTCAAGCAGTATTGCTGCTATCAACGATACTTTAAGACTATAGTTCCCTCAAAAGTAGACTTTAATTCATATAAAGGTGTCCCTACCTCAACATCCTCATATCTACCACACATTACATACCTGGTCATTTTTATGCTTCCAATCTATTCCAATTAACGTGGTTTTAGTGAAATATTTTACCAATTTTCACAATGGTTATACCAATTGTCAAGACTTACCCAGAAAAAAAAAGAAGAAAAAAAATCGGATTTAAAAATAAACATCTTGATGACTATGAAGTGATAGTGTATGAAAAACGGTTCTGATGTAAATAGGCAAATATTTTAATATTCAGGTTAAAATGAGAGTTTAATATTTCAGGATAACCAGATGATTAGAATAAAAATTATGTATTAATTGGAAGAATTGATTGAATGTGGTCCATTGGTTCATTCACAATCTCAAAAAAAAAAGACACCAAAAGAGAAAGAGGACTAAACACCACATAAAGATTAACTTCTATAGAAAACAGGAAAATATCCTTGTGTTTCAGTCATCACATTTTGTCAAACAATGCATCAATGAATTGATTATGATGCCAATTCACTTTTCTCATTTAGCATGAGTTTGACTTTTCCGAAGGTCTAGATTAAGAATTCCAAACCCTAAGTGGAAATAAGAAACCTGATTGCACATAAATAGGAAATTCTTCAACCTCCAATTAACATGCGGATATCTGCTGAGCTCTTTTGCAAACGGATGTTTTGTGTGTTAAGAACAGTGATACTTGCGTGTAGTTAATAATCATGCTCACTGCCTCTCACCTTACACTGCATCATGGGAACTGTCACATGGCTTACAGCCCCTGATCACCGCTTTCTTCAAGTTTTCAGATCACAGCTTTATAATTAATCATCATTCGACAGCAAGAACAGTGTACAATACACATTTACATTCCAGACCAGAAAGTCACCTTCGGTTTTGATAGTTCTTTTTTTTTTAATACAAAATAATACTTTTTTTCATTCATCGAAATTATAAATATCTTTGGATTAAGTATTTTCAGTTAGTCAGTTCATGATAAAGAGAAATTCCACAAGAAAATGTACAAAAAAATTGTAAAGAGGGTATCTCAATTGAACAAAAGTCTTTAAGGAAATACTCAAAAAAGACCTGTATTCAAGATGATAGATCAATTATGGTCGTCATGCCAACCAGTTTGTTCTTTTTTGTTCCAGAGCTTCAGCGCATGACACCGTGGAGCCCATGGTTCCGAATTAATTCCACACAAACAGGGGCATTTGAGGAACGATTCCAATTTATGTGTATGGCAAATGTGCCCGATGTTAAGCAGATAAAGGCATCTCATGCTAAAACTCACATGCGATATTGTGACTACAATAGTGGGGACTGTTATCGGCCAGGTGAGATTATACACAGTCCCATAGACACACACTCACCTGTCGATAGAGTGATTCGCAAATACTGCAGACGGCGAAGGAATTATTTCAAAAATTACTGCAAATGTAGGACGTTAGGTGTTTTCCTTATATGCACACGATGTCGTAGTTCGGGTTGAATAGTTTCCCGCATCAAAGAATTTCAGCCTCATTTTGAATTTCATATGGAAAACATTGTCTCATCATGTTATTTGCACTGCCTCTTGTAGACATCTCCAAATAAGGACAAAGGGCAGACAACTCCGTTATATAAACATATATATATATATATACACTCAGATTCCTACTCCTCCCAAACTACTGCATATATGGCAAATATAGGAAAATGCACCAGTTATGGGAACCGGTTGTCATGGATACCGGTTGTCATGGACTCATGCACTTACACTGGAATGTGACCTTTATTGACCTCACCAGTAGTGTAGATAAGGAAGAATGCTGGTTCATTCTGTTACCGTAGCGATGGAATTGTTTCTTAGCAACTAAGCATGTGTTACTTTTTTTCACTGCAAGCAATGATAAAACTTCCTTTCATTTTGAATGAAATGGCTGTTGGTTATTACAGCAAGGTAGTAGCGGCTGTATGATTGGCCCGGGGCTGGATCCTCGTACCTAATTCTGAGGCACTGGAGTTTGGAAGAAAGTCAGTTCTCCATCAATTTGCATGATACAGTGGAACTTTGATGGTTCAGACATTTTTTTATTTTTTTTTTATTAAAATATCTGCAATACCTGTATATAATAGCTCCTTGATTTCAATATGACAATAATGTCCCTAAATAGGATGTATGATCTTAGATACAGACTTTTGGGGACAGTTTTCATCTTGAAGACAAAAAATGTGATGGATTTGTCTGAAATGAAGTACAAGGTAGACAATCCTATGCATAAAAGACTTATCCATGAAAAAAAATTGAAATTACTGTAAAAGTTGTTTTTTTTGTATTAACAGTACTGTATATATATATGTCCAAAATGGATTTTACTATACTGTGTCATATCTCAAATTAAGATGAAGTCTTGCAAATTTATCCTTAAGGATCCCTGTCCCACTGCAATGTAGTGATCGGTATATACAGTTACCTCCCCTTAATTTTGTTTCGTATATAACTAGTTGACCCAGGACACTATATAGTGAAGTGGAAGTAAAACCTATCAATCAATCAATCGAGCCAGGACACTTCCCTTGGCTCAGTCAGTTAAGAGCAACAGTATAACAATTTGAAGTCCAGGATTCGAATCTCCGGTTATAGCGCCGCTGATTTTTTCTACTCGAAGCACTGTGGGGTGTTTTCTTTGTAAATTTCGTCTTAATTATTTTCATAAAGCGCTTTAGAGTGGCTTATGTTAGCTAGATAGGGCGCTATATCAAATGTTGTGTATTTATTATTTATAAAAGTCCCCACAAGGAATGGTTTTCTTTTCAGAAATGATTTATCAAATTTAGTCATGCCAGAATTCAATTTCCGATGCATAGTTACAGTTTTTGGCAGTGGTACAGGGATCCCTAAGTCTTAAAAAAATACTCTGCTTCCAATTTTTATTCTGTAAGAAATTGTAAAGATTTTTTGACAGCGATAAGCGTAACTTTTTTAAAAAATGTTAAAGATTTTCAAAAATTGTTTGGTTGAGATTTCAGCTGTAAACGTTTCATTTCACATATCTTGTATAAAAAACTTGATTGGATATTTTTGAAAAAGCTTAGGTAGTAAGTTCCAATAATAGTATATTTTAGCTATTTGTGAAGATTGCAAATACACCCCCCCCCCCCCCCAAAAAAAAAAAAGAATTTCACCAGCTATTTGTAATGTAGAATTTTTAATGAAAATATTTTTAACATGTACAATGTATTCAATTTATTAAATTATAATTTAATCATAAGCTACAAATTTGAACATTAGAGACGATATATGTGTTGTGATGATTGTGTGGATGAGTGAATGGTGAGAGAAGGTCAGAAGGGTGAGCGTCAGTATGTTGTATGCAAGATGGGCATCAGGATGTACAGGAATGGGCTTATCAAAACATATGAGAGCATATATAAGCCCGACAGTAGTCAAAACTCTATCAATGAAGCCCCACATTTTTTGTTCTAAGAAAAACGTTTCTGCTTTGGCCAAGTGGTTAAGGTGTCTGACATTCTGCTATCTACTAGCCTTCCAACACTGGGTCGCAGGTTCGAGGTCTACGTGGGGCATGTTTTCTCGGGGAACTCTGGCTTTCCTCCACCACCAAAACCGGACACGTCCTAAAATGACCATAGCTGTTTATAGGATGTAAAAAACACAGACAAACCAAACCAGACTTTCCAAAATTGACTACCATACCAAAAAAAAAAGTGTGAAGCAACATTCTAATGCAGCATATTTTATTCACAATGATTCTTAATGAATTCAGTTGTGTTAGCATATTTACCCTTTTTCACAAATAACAGATGTGAAAAATATTATTATAAACAGTCATATCATTATTTAGTGGTGGCATAAGATTCGGAATGGATGGGTGACAACACTCGGCACTTTAAATGTTCATTAGGAGATATTGTTTAAGCTTTTTGCAAAATTGAAGGATTGCGGAATAGAGGAGAATAAGACAATATAAAATGGCTGTCTTAAGAAACAAGGCATATTCGGATTCAGAACACAATATAAATAATGTAAAGAAAGCTTGCTTTCATTTTGTTCCTTACTCTTGCCTGAATTAACCTTGTATTTTAAGACATTAAAACATATACATATTTATCGTTCTTCATCAGCCTTCATTTATAATCGGATCACTTACATCTATGCAATGGAAAGTGCCTGGAAATCTAGGAGAGATATCGTGAGAAAGTAGTAAGAAAGTTTTAATAGGTGTTTTGAGTGTTTTCAGACTGATTTTATTTTAAAGATTGAAAGAGTGCATGAACAAATAATGGGAGTCAATCATATCATTGAATACGGAAACGATTTATGTACTAATATTTATCTACAAAAAACAAATAACTGTGTCTTCCTTGATGTGTGTTATATAAGGTATAGTGTTAACAGTATTTCCTATTAGTACCATTGTGATATTTTATAAGGAACATTTCCCACCAATACCGGTGCTTGGTGTATATAGGCCAGTTAACCTATCGTCTGTAATGTCCAATCAGATCACCCGTTACATAATAAACCAACCAATCATGTGTAGTGTCCAATCAGGTCAGCCAATAGAAAGCTGAAACAAATTTAGTGTCGAAGACTCCAAATTCTTGTTAAGAATGAGGAAAGTAGAAATGATAATATTTGTAATTTACCGTATTTATAATGATGGTTTATCATTAAATCATTGCTGTTGATAATATTCTGTTCTTACGTTTTGAAATTAATGCATATAGGTCCATTGTAAATTGTATATGAGAAGTTTTAATTGGATTGTCAAAATATTTTAATTTGGAAGATAAAAAGAATCATTTCAATAGGCAAAAAGGTGAAAATTAATTTGGTGTATACATTTTCAAAATTGCATTGTCATGATGAAAGAGAACATTGATTGGTTAAATGCATTTATTGGTAATTTTGAAATTTACATTGGTATGACAGCTGATTTTATGTACATTAGGTATGAAGATACAATGCTGATTTTGGAAAAAAGAAACATATATACTATCACACATGTGACACAATATACTATGTGCAATGTGATGTATGTGTGTGAGGAGAAAAGCTTTTCCACTTGATAAATTAATTTAGTCCAGAATCCTAGAGCTATGCGATCACTTTCTCATGTGATCCCATCAACAGCAGTTTTCCTCCCTTTACCTCAGTTTGCTTAGTAAACGTTCGGTATCACGGTATCACGTATATTCTATTGAACCATGACTAACCCTGTATTTTATGAATTTTAGTGCAATATTTAGAAACAGTTACAACTAGAATGGCACACGAACAATTTCCATAGTAACCACTGTAGGTTTCCATGGCGACTAAGTTCGAATGTGTTCAGTGCTATGCAGTTATTTACAAATTACATGTAGATAGTGATTATTTATTCGTCATGCCATTTTTCATTTTCACCATTATTTTTTATTTGTTTTGCATCTATTTTTTAATTATCTCATTACCAGTTACATATTAAGATAATTTGATTGTATTCTCTATATATGGGGTCACCATAACATGACAGAAAGTGTAGTGCTTGGTGCCTGGATTATATACTGACGTTAATTATAGCGGTCCATATCATGCTTCATTTTAAGTGGTGCATTCAGGTTTTAATTCGTGCAAAATAAATGGCAAATCAATCTGAATGAACTTGTAAGATCATGAATATAACGAGATAAGGGTAGGATATATAAAATGGATTATCTTAAACTATCTGGCAGATTCAAATTTTGATCAGAGGTCATTAAATATATGCATTGTTTTCAGAAACCAGTGACCATTAATTAGGATATTTTAATTTTGAAATTACAACTTCAAGCCATCAAAGGTATAAATATAATATTTCTATTTGAGATAGATAACTGTACATACTTCTGCAAGCTTTACTGGTGTAAAGAACTCACAAAATAAAAAATAAAATTCAGTATTTAGAAAAGTACTTCGATTGACGTCATTTAACATTTCTTGCATTATGACTGCTGTACGGCAATGAAGGTAATTTGATAAAATTCATATTTTCAATTCAGAACATTGATTTATTTTGCCCAGTGCTGAACATTATAGAATTGTTCCTTACTGTTCTTCTTCATAGATAACCTCCTGTTATAGATCTGCTATACTTTGGGTTTCTTTTTATACCGAAGATAAATTAACGGTACAGATGGTAAACTTACCCTTTCTAGTTTATGTAAATGCATATTTCGATGTATTCAACGAATAAATCCCCCAAAAATAGCCGATTTGTTACTCACCTGAAATATAAACTAGTTATAAAATATTCCCGAAGGACAATAGAGAAGGCATATTGACAAGACATTTGAACTCATTCTACATCAT